TCACTTTCATTTTCTTCCTCCCCCCCTCCCAACCATCATCGTAGCCTGCCGCCAAGGCCACGTTTGGCGTGACGCTGGTCATCGACAGCCACCTGACGGCGCTGTCCAACATGCCCGAGCGCCGCGTGGAGTACCTCAAGGGCGGCAAGAAGCGCGTGGCCTTTATGGACACGCCGAAGATGAGCTCCTACCTGCTCGCCATGTGCGTGGGCGAGTTTGAGTTTGTGCAGGGCACGACTCAGCACGGCGTGCTGATGCGGTGCTATTCGACACCGGGCATGGTGGACCGCGCCCGCTTTGCGCTGGACTGCGGCGTCAAGTGCCTCGACCTGTACGACGACTACTTTGGCATCGCCTTCCCACTCCCCAAGATGGACATGATCGCCATCCCCGACTTTGCCGCCGGCGCCATGGAGAACTGGTTTGTTTTGGGATGGGGAAAGGGGGGTGGGGTAATGTGTGTGTGTGTGTGTGTGTGTGTGTGTGTGTGTGTGTGTGTGTGTGTGTGTGTGTGTGTGTGTGTGTGTGTGTGTGTGTGTGTCGTGTGTGTGTGTGTGTGTATGTCGTGTGTGTGTGTGTGTGTGTCGTGTCGTGTGTGCACTAGCTTTCTTGCGTGCGTGCGTGCGTTTGTGTCTGTTCCTGTCTGTGCTTCTGTTGCAACCACTGTCAACGTTCCCCATGTACCATTCCCCTCACAACTCACCGCCACAACTACCAGGGGTCTGGTGACGTACCGTGAAGTGGATCTGTTGGTGGACGAGGCGAGCGCCACATCCGCACAGCGCCAGCGCGTCTGCACCGTCGTCACCCATGAGGTGCGACGATGGTGGCGAGTGGTGATGGCGGGGGTGTTGATGACAAGGAAGGGATACTTGCCTGGCCCTGCTTGCTTGCATCTTCAAACTGCATGTTGCACTCACTCCCTTGATCACCGCCGCCATCACAAAATAGCTCGCACACCAGTGGTTTGGCAACCTCGTCACCATGGCCTGTAAGCCATCATCCACCTACTGTGCACCCTTTGTCTACGTTGTGTGTGCGTGTGTATGTGCGTGTGTGTTTGTGTGTATGTGTGTTCCTGTGTTCCTGTGTGCACCGACCCACCATCCATCGACCCACTACTCATCAACCCACCACTCTATCAACCCCATTCTATCTACATTGCAGGGTGGGACGACCTCTGGCTCAACGAGGGATTCGCCTGCTTCCTCCAGGTAACACGTGTCGTGCTGTGTCAATGTTGCTTCCACTCGCCAAACTGCGCCTCTTGTTCATCCACCCCCACTCCCCCCCCCAATAACCGCGCTCACATGCCGCTCGCTGCCACCACGATCACACCACCGCCACCGCCACAATACCACCGCCAGACGTGGGCTGCGGACAAGCTGCATCCCGAGTGGCAGCTGTGGCAGCAGTTTGTGACGAGCGACCTGGCGGCGGCGCTGCGGCTCGACTCGCTGCGCTCCAGCCATCCGATCCAAGTCCCCATCAAGCACGCACACGAAGTCGAAGAGGTGCGCTGGGCGGGGGAGGAATGGAGGAGGAATGGAGGAGTGGAGAGGAGGGAGAGACGGTGGGGGGAGGGGAAGGAGAAGAAGGGGGATCGTGGAGGGACAATGGTCGTGGCCGTGGTAGTGGCAGTGGTGGAGGGAGGAATAGGATGGTTGTTCGTTGCCTTGTTGCTAACGTGCACCAACCACATTGCCTGCCACATTCCTTTCACACACAAACACATACACGCACACATACACACACACACACGCACATACACATATACATACATACAAACGCAGGTGTTTGACGCCATCAGCTACTGCAAGGGCGCGTGCGTGATCCGCATGCTCAACACGGTGATTGGGGAGGCCGCGTTCCAGCAGGGCCTTCGCGCGTACTTTGAGGCCCACAAGTACGGCAACACGGAGACCACCGACCTGTGGAAGGCCTGGGCCGACGCTTCCGGCATGCCCGTCGCGTAAGTCAGCCGTGGTGCGTGTATGTGCATGCGTGTGCATACGTATGTGTGTGTGTGTTCGTGTGTGTGTGTGTGTGTGTGTGTGTGTGCATATGCATGTGCGTGTGTGTGTGTGTGTTCGTGTGTGTGTTTTCTCAAATGTACCCGACGTCCAATGCTGCCACATGCTTGTGTTTCATCATGTGTGTCTCGTTCTGCTGCGACCACGGTTCTTATCACTCATGACAAACCCAACACAACCCCCCCCCCCCTCCACCCGCGCCAACTCCACCACCAGCGACCTGGCCAAGTCGTGGACGGAGCAGATGGGCTACCCTGTCGTCAAGGTGGACATCAAGTCCGAAACTGCAGACGAGGTTGAGCTCACGTGCACGCAGTCGTGGTTCCTCGCCGACGGCTCCGAGGCCAAGCCCGACGAGAAGAAGACGTGGACGCTGCCCGTTGTCGCGGCCTCTGCCTCACACCGCGACGCCAAGGTGCAGCTCGTCTCGGACGAGACGTTCACGCTCAAGGTGCCGTGCAAGTCGGGGGAGTGGGTCAAGGTCAACTTCGGCCACCCGGTCCCCATGCGCGTCATCTACTCGCCAGACCTCCTCAAGCGCCTCAGCGCAGGCGTCAAGTAAGTGCGTGTGTGTGTGTGTGTGTGTGGTTGGGTGGTGTGTATGCCTGTGTACCTGTGCGCCTCTATGTGTGTGTGCCTGTTTGCGTGCCTGTGTGTGTATGCGTGTGTGTGTGTGTATGCGTGTGCGCCTCCATGTGCGTGCACAGCTTCCAGAATCCTCAACTGCACACCGTTTCTCACCTCACATCCCACGACACGTCTTCATCCCCCTCCCTTCTCCACCCCTCTTTCCCTAGGGAGCGCACGCTGCCGACGCAGGACCGTGCGGGCCTACTGCTGGACTGCATGGCGCTGACCAATGCCAAGAAGCTCCAGCCCGAGCTCCTCATCACGCTCCTCAACGCATACAAGGGCGAGGAGGAGTGCGTGGTGTGGGACGCCATTGCCCCGGCCCTCAACGGCCTGCACAAGGCGCTGCTCTCCGACGAGGCGCTGTCCAAGCACCTGCGCGCGCTGGCGGCGTCGCTGGTGGAGCCCGCGGCGAAGAAGGTGGGCTGGGACGCCAAGGAGAGCGACGGGCACCTGACGAAGCTGCTGCGGCAGACGCTCATTGCGCTGCTGGCCAAGTTCTCCGACGACGAGCAGGTGGTGGCTGAGGCGCGGCGCCGCTTCAAGAGCGTGCTGGCCAACCCTGCAGACACGGCCGCATGCCCGAGCGACTACCGCACGTCCGTGTACTCGCTCGCGCTGAAGAACGGCGGGCGGACGGAGTACGAGCAGCTGATTGGCCTGTTTGAGTCGCTGAACAACAACGCGGACCGCAAGCAGGTGCTGCACGCGCTCGGGTTTGGCCCCACGGAGGAGCTGAAGACGGCTGCGCTCGACTGGACCACGTCCGGCGCCGTCAAGCTGCAGGACTTCTTCTACACCATCGCCAGCGGTGCGTTGGGGTGTGTGTGGGTGGGTGTGGGGGGGGATGTTGGGGGTGCGGAGCAAGGTGGAGGGAGGGGGCGTTTGGGGGTTGGAGTTGAGTGTCATGTGATGGTTGTGCGCGTGTGTACGTGTATGGCTGTGCGTGTACGGTTGTGGATGTACTCCCTCTTTGTCTCTCTTTCCTATTCCACACGATAACCCACGCCTCAACCGTTCCCCCCAACACACACACACACACACACACCAGTGTCGACGTCGAACCGGATGGGCCAGCGCCTGGCGTGGTCGTACTTCAAGAAGAACGTGGACAAGTACCGCAAGATGATTGGCAAGGCCAACCCGAGCCTCATGCACGCCGTCATCGTCTACAGCACATACGGCAACACCGAAGGTGCGTTCAGCTGTGGCGTTGAAGTGCAGGAGGTGGAGAGGGAGGAGATGAGGTGGAGGAGAGTAGGGGTTTGGGAGTGTGGATGAGGAGCTACAGATGGAGGCGGCACATTCTTTGCTGTTGTGTGCATTCCCTCTTTTTGATACCAGTGTCGTTCTTCTCGTCCCACCCTTCACCACTACAACACCAAACCGCATCCTTCCTTTCCACCCCCTTCTTCCCCCCATCAGAGCACGCTGCGGAGGTTGAGCAGTTCTTCAAGGAGCATCCGATCCCCGGCACGGACCGCCGCGTGCAGCAGGTGCTCGAGTCCATCCGCGTCGCTGCGGGCTTTGCAAACTTCCTCCGCAGCTCCTCCATCGCCAACGACGCGTTCTGGGCCAGCCTCTGAGTGCGCAGCACGTGCTTGCAGGCACGCGTGGTTGGTGTTGGCGGAGCTGAAGCTGAGTTGCTGATGGTCAACGCTCGATGACGACACTGGATGCATCCTGCACCACCCTCGCTGTCACCACTCGTGTCATGCTGTTCCGTTTTGCGTGTGCGCACCGTTTTCCTTGACGCACATGCACGCGTTCCATTCCCACAACTCGCGTTTCCTACGTGTGTTTCCCTCCACCGTTCAACAACAATACACGACTCCCCCCCCCATTCTACCCGTGCAGCCATGTCATCGACTTTGAGAGTGTGAGACACACACATGGACTGGAAGAAGGATTGGGTTTATCTTATGCTGCACATCATCACATCAGATCAGAGCCACTGTGCTGCAATGCAAGTGTAACGGCATGCAACCAGCAGTGTGTCGCAAACAACAGCACGCACGAAAACAAGTGCTACAGCTCTCCTACATGCCCGTATCATCGTCTCTCCAGCTGCCGTCGTCATGCGGAGGGCCGTGCGTTGTTGTTGTTGTTGTTGTTGTTGTTGTTGTTGGAAGCAGCCTGTCCCCTGAACAGCTGCGACGTGACGGCCTGGGTGAGGGACTGGGTGATGTGGGAGCTGATGTATGCGCTGGCGACGTCCTGCCGCTGGTTGGTGGCGTTGCGCTGGCACTTGCGGTAGCCGACCACGTTCGACGAGTTGAGCAGTATCGCAATCACAACCACCAGCTGAGGTGAAAAGGGAATTGTAGTGTTGGTGGTGAGATTGGGGGGGGGGGGGTTGTGGTTGGGGTGAGAGGTGAGAGGTGGTGGGGTGGACGGGACATGGCGACAGTGACGCGCAGAAGCAGACACAGAGGGACACGGGCATGCGCACACACACACACATACAGAGTAGACTCGCCCACACACACACACACACACACACACACACAAACACATATAAAGACACACACACACACACACACACACCCACAGACACACAGACCCACAGACACACAGACCCACACACACACACACACACAGACACACAGACACACACACACCAGGTATGAGAGGCGCAGCCGTATCAAGGCAAAGAAGCCGAGGACACCCCAGATGAAGGTGAAGATGTAGAGCGACCACCAGAACAAGCGCGACTCTGACGCATCAGGCGGATCTCCTCCCTGAAGAAAAGGAAGAGGCGAATGAAAGGGAGAGTGGTGGTGAGGAGGCGAAAGAAGCGCTGGCACGCTAACAGGAGGACAAGGCGACAATGTCCAACAGCTAGCGCAGTAAGTGCAACACCTTGCGTGACTCGAAGCGCCACTTGCTGTTTCCTTCGTCATCAATCTGGTTGAGTAGAGTAGTGTGGTGGTGGAGGTAGAAGGGAGGGGGGGGGGGTTCCCTTGCGGGGGATGCTTGTGTTTTTGGGGGGGGGGGGGAGAAAGAATGGACGGGAGGCAAAGCGTGGGTGGCAGGGTGACAGAGAGGCAGAGGGCAGACAGAGAAGTAGACATGTAGACACACACACACACACACACACACGCACAGACACACACAGAGATGCACACACACACACACACACAGATACACACACGCACACATGCATACCTGATTCCACCAGCGCAGGCCGACGAGGAAGCGGCCAGAGACGTTCTTGACCATCCAGAAGTCGCAGGCGATGAGCACGGTGATGACGATGAAGTTGATGATGAAGGAGGAGCTGAACACCGTGCAGAAGATGTACGTCAGCAACGCTCCCAGCTTGAACAGCATGTGGAAGAACACCACCCGCGGGTGCCGCCATCCTTGCGCCAACCCACCAAGCCCGTTGCTGCTGCGGTTCGTGTTGTCCATCGTCGTTGTGGTTGTTGTTGTTGTTGTGGGCGCCGTTTTTTCGCTCGTGTTTGTGTGCACACAGACAAGACAACACTGCTCACACACACACACACACACACACACACACACACACACACACACACAGACACACACACACACACACAGACCAGCACAGACACGGCGCTGCGATGCCTCCGAAGAAGCGAAAGGGCCGCAAGGGAAGCAAGGGCGGCGGCGGGAGCGTGTCGAGTGGACAGCCCAAGTACCGCTTCGCATCTGCACACAAGGAAGACCACGGCAAGCCGCTCTTCGGCGTCTCCTTCAACCCGTACGTGGAGTCGTGGCGTGCACTTGTGATGGTTTGGATGGCTGGTGTCGTTGTTGCGCTGCTCTCTCTACTTGCCTGCTCCTTGTTGTTGAGGGACAGCCAGCCTCACCATGCCTTATGTGATCTGCCCTGCGATACAAACGACAGCTATCTATCACAGGGCGAGTCCCCACAGTACATATGCGCGACCGTCGGCTCAAACCGAGTAAGTCGTTGTGTGTGTGTGTGTGTGTGTGTGTGTGTGTGTGTGTGTGTGTGTGTGTGTGTGTGTGTGTGTGTGTGTGTGTGTGTGTGTGTGTGTGCGTGCGTGCGTGTGTGTATGTGCGTGCGAGGCTCCAGCGCTCTTCCCTTGACTACTCTTCACCGCCCTTCTCTTTCTCTTCACCGCCCTTACCCTATCGATCGATCCCATGTTGTCCAGGCGAGCATCTACGAGTGCCTGGAGGACGGGACACTGCAGCTTCTGCAGGCATACGTCGATGAGAACGTAAGCACGCCACTCGACTTGCACCGCGCCTCTGCTTTTCACTTCAATCCACGCGCACACACTCACCACCCCGCCCACGCCTCTATCTGCATCACGCGCATCAATCGACACGTAGCCGGACGAGGTGTACTACTCTGCCGCGTGGACACACGACCAGGCCAATGACCGCGCCCTGCTCGCTGTAGCCGGCTACCTCGGCCTGATCCGGCTCGTGCGCACCGACACGTTCTCAAACTCGCGAGTGAGTGCAGATGTGTGAGTGAGTAAGTGTGTGTGTGTGTGTGTGTGTGTGTGTGTGTGTGTGTGTGTGTGTGTGTGTGTGTGTGTGTGTGTGTGTGTGTGTGTGTGTGTGTGTGTGTGTGTGTGTGTGTGTGTAAGAGAAAAAGGAAAGCGCGCAACGTATAGCACACAACCACCTCTGCGCATTTGTTCCTCGCGGGGGGGGGGGGGGGGGGGGATTAAAAATAGCATCACGACCACGCAAAACAGAAAAAATAATCATTAAGCAATGAATGGAGAAGAGGAAGGTGGCGGAAACAAGACAGAACCAGAATGCAGAGAGATGAGAGTGTGATGAGGTCTCAATAACAAGCGGCCGGAGGGCTACGCGGCTAATCTGGGAGCTGCCGCGGATTAGATAAACGGAAGAAAAAAACGGAACAAAAAAGCAAGAAATAATAGACGTAGAGGGATGATCAAAGAAGAGGAGCGAGCTGC